AAAAAAAAGAAGGGAGAATTTTATTTGTGTATTGTTTTTATTAACTCAGTTTCAGTAAATTGATGACACAGACAAGAGGCAGTTTTTTAGTGTTCGCTGCTTGGAGTGGGTTTGGTGTTTTTTGTTTTATGTTGTGTTCCCCCCCCCCGCCCTTAAATCTCACTTATGTCTGTGTGGCAGCTGTTGCTTCTTTTAAGGAAGCAAGTTTTTGAACTCAGATTTCTGTTGCTTATCAGCACTGTACATTAAAGACATTTCCTTCACACCTCTAAAAACATTTACATACTGAAAAATGTAGACGTTTTGCAAAGGTGATTTTTTAAAAAAATACAGTTTTTTTTAAATAAGAAGATTAATTTTAAATTACTGAATACTTTTTCAGGAATTGCTAAATTTCCATATGCTTAAGGATTATAAGTGGTGAGACTAACAATAGCAACCATCGACTCTGAGGTGAAGTATATGTTTGAAGAGAGTTTGAGTTCTGAGGTGCAGTAAAAAAATTACAAACTTTGAGGGATACATTTTTTCTAACATGGATTTATTGACTACTCATATGGTTTCTTAGAAAGCTCTTCTTTGTGAAGCTGATCAGCAGTATCAAAACTAAAAATGCTGCATCACTAGAATAAGCATATTTTGTGAAATGTCCTAAAGGCAGGATTCTTGTTACTAGCTGTCAAAGGCAAAAAAGAAAAATCATTAATGTTGCAGTACAGAGGCGAATACAGAGGCAGCCTCGAGGGTCATGTTCTAAACAAACCTTGATTAAACATTCTTTGTTACTGTTGTTAGCCCGTGTATTATTAAACACAACATTAATTAAAGAGTTGCATATTGCGAGGGTGCTTTTTGTATGAAGATCAGATGCCATTTTCATGTGCTTTAAGAATGTATTGCTGTCTTGTTTAATCTTTCGGGTGTATTCTCTCAATCATTATTAAAAAAGCAGAGCCCAACAACCAAAACCTGATTCTAAATTTGTATTTTGTGTGTTTGTATGTATTTATTGTCTGTATACATCTGTGAGATATATACTCTAGTGCCACTTTTCTCAAGTAGCTTTAAAACCTTTGACTAGAATTAAAATGATGTAGGAATTACTTGGCTTTCTTCACTGCAGTGGTTGAAATTAGAGACGTCTTCTTACTGTCTAATAAACAGATCCTAAAAGAACATGTTTTTCAACTTAGAAGGGTGTAAATTTAAGCAAAATAATAATTTAGCTTACATTAACTCA